TTCTGTCATCTTGGCTAGAACTTTTACAAAAAAATTAGATACCATCATCTTCAGAAATCTCAATGGCCACTTATTTACTTTCCAATTCTACAAAATTTACTTTAATTATGTGAGATTTCAATAATATATGCCTGAATAATTTTGTCAACTGTCAAACAGTGACTATTGGTTGGCATCCTGTTATTTCGGTGCTAGCTACAAATTCAATAGATTCAGTTGAACCATGTTTTTGAATCAAAGCAGTCTCCCTATATACACATGCAGCTGGTATACAGCTGAAAGTAATGTTTCACGTTTTCTTTGATAAATTAAGTATAAGATAGCATTTTAAACCTTTTGATAAAAATTCATTAAAAAATTTAAACATGATCTATTGATTAATTGTGAATAATATGTTCCTATAGTTAGCAACAGTCGTTTATTTTTTTAAATTCTCAGTTATTCATGAAATGCATTTTTTTACTTGGGTGTCACCCCCCTCCAAACGAGTGCCACCCGGTGCTCACCCCTTAGTGACGCCACTGCTTAGAAGGAGCTATATACAAAACTAGGTCACACAGCAGCTGTGTCAGCGTAGTAAGTCTAAATGTGTCGAACTTGCCTTGAACTTTACAAAAATATCAGAACTAGATCTATTACGTTTGTGTTTTAAAACCCTCTCTGTTTATCTTTGTACCCGCGACCACTTGGCTGCTTCTCACGGGCTGTTGAAAATCATGGAAATGAAAGACAAGGGCGATTATCATGAAAGCAACTTTACTGCAACATAACTCTTGCTAATTCTGCGTGTTTCAGGCACCGCTACGTTTTTCTTGATACGCAACACACCAAGCAAAAACAACACTTTAAATAGATCTAGGAGATGTCTTCCAGTTTGTTGGCCTGTCAACTCCGGCAACTGAAATATCTAGGTGAGTTAATAGACCAAGAGCTTGATATAGAATAATACATTCTAGATCTAGATAGTATTATTTTTATTCATTGTAAAAAAAAAAAAAAATGACTGTTATAACTTGACTGAAGTTTGCATAAAAAAAATCTGGCTACAAATCACAAATATAATTCATTCACAAAGTAAATAATAAGTTCAAAGTTCATTTCTTCAATAACATAAACCAGTACTGTAGAGCATTCTCTCTTCTTAGTTTTCTGAAATATTAGATCTCTAGTAGGCCTACTCTAGACTATAGTTAATAGTATATAGGCATAGAATCTAGATCTATGCTATAGTGTATAAGGCAGTATAAAAGCTAATTTCATATTATGATTTTATTATTAATCTTTGCAGCTAAATAAATCTGATTTAATAAATGTGAGCCTACATTTGTCGTAACTGTTAGTAAAGAAAAGTGTTAGTATAAACTCATGATGATAGTTCTATTTAAAAATAACATTTAGATCCAGACCTAGATAATCATATATTATAATCTAGAATCTATCTATCTATATAATATAATATTTAGGCTGCATAGATCTAGATAACTCACTGAAATGCAAGATTTAACACAATCGTGATAAACAGCCTCAACACTATCTACCTACATGACCCAAAAATAAGCAAATAATTTTAATGCCAAACTACGTTGGCACCCAAGTCCTAATGATTTTAAATTATTAGATCTAACTAGCCTGTTCCCCATGTTGTATTTATAATTATATATCTTATATAATACAGACGTTACTTCAAAAAAGATGATTACGTCATGCATTTAGTCATGCATATTAACCAATGACTTAAATTCTGCAGGTCACTGGTTTTCCTGGCTAGCTCAGGCAACCCATTCCATGCTCTAATAGCACTAGGGAAGAAGGAATATTTGTACAAATTTGTCCTAGCATATGGGACGAGGCATGTGCCTTTATCTTTGTGTCTTTCAGAGTATTTTATTAAATTTTGTTAATGTATTTGAAGATTATGGTTCAGTGTTTTATGTATAATTGCTACTTTACTTTTGAGTCTTCTTTCCTGAAGGCTTTCTAAATTTAGTGATTTTACTATAGGTGTTACTCTAGTCAAATGTGAATATTCATTTGTTATGAATCTCACTGCTCTATTTTGTGTCTGTTCCAGTTTCTTAATGTTTTCTTGAGTTGAGGGCTCCTAAACGGCGGATGCATATTCTGTTATTGGCCTAACCAAGGTTAATTAACATTTTATGTTCTTATTTGATTTATAGAAATTTCTTTTAATAAATCCTAATGCTTTGTTTGATTTTTTTTATAGTTTCATCAATATGTGGATTCCATGACAGTTTTTTATTTATTATAACACCTAGGTATTTTGCGTTTTTAGTCTGTGTTACTGGTTTGCCATGAATAAGATAAGTGGAATTAATTTGTTTTAGTTTTTTTGTTACTCTTAACAACTGACATTTTTCTGGGTGGAAAGACATGCTCCAATTTGATTCTCATTTCTGTAATTCATCTAATTCTCTTTGTAAAATATCTGTGTCTTGTGTTGTTTTTATTGTTCTATATATTATGCAATCGTCTGCAAATAATCTGACTTTTGTTCCTGAAGTAATGCAATATATCTAGTTACAGGAGAATAAATTCTATTTTGAATAACACAGAACTTTCGTAACTTCTTATCTATATAGATCTTTTTCCAATCATCATTTAAACAGGCCAAAGTTCGACAGATTAGTTTAACCTTAAAATGAAGGAAAAGATAAGCTTGCGTATTTTTTAAATTTAAATCTTGGCCTTGAAACTGTAAATGTCATCTTGTAAAAAAAAAAAGCAAGTGTGTATTTAAAAGTAAAGAGTATCAAAAAAGTTAAAATTAAAGGCTCGCTCTGCCTCTTTGCTCAAAAAAACTTTTTTTTTTATGATTAAAATGAATAAATTATATATATATAATCTTATATGTAAGCATTCTTGTGCTATTGATTTAATCTTTCTCAGACGAAGTTGTATGCTTGTTATCTTCTTTTTTATTTAACAAACTCAAATCTATCAACCTCAAAATGAGCTCTTACTTCTTTAATTCACCATTAAGTCAGTGCTAACAGTTACTTGAAACTTAGCCAGGCCAGTTACACCGTAAGCAATGCTGAATCAGCAGGACCTGTCCTGATCACGCCAATACCTGGACCTAAGTCGAAGCAACTGAAAAGTGAACTTGATCAAGTGCAGGTAATTTTATCTTTTTTTCTGTTTTTTTTTAAAAATGAATCTTATATCAGTTCATTCATTCTCTTTTTTTTTTGTATTGAAAAAACAACAAAAAAGAAGTTTCAAAGAATTTTTATGGCATTTTTTAATCATACAATAAATGTTTTATTTAGGTTATAAAAAGATCATGATTTGATTTCCACTTCATAACATTGACTTATGAACCTCTAATTCTAGGTTATTCTGAATAATGTAATCCCCAGAACACAGATGCAGTGCAGTTTTTTGTGGATTATGAAAAGAGTTATGGGAACTACATTGTGGATGTGGATGGTAACTACTTGCTGGATCTGTACACACAGATAGCCAGTATTCCATTAGGTAGGCCGATATACCTTAAAATTAATTGTACACATGGTCATTGTTTCTTTTACTCATTGAAGAAATAAAAACAGTGACTATTACATGGAGGACCCAAATAGTTTCACTTTCTTACTTGAGATATTTATTACTCCTTAGAACACTGGGGAGAAAAGAGTAAGGCTTGGCCTGGGGCTAGCGACCTCACCCTGTAAAACCTCAATAGCTACAGAAACAGCAAACTTTAAACATTAAGTCTAAGAACACTGTAAAATTGCTAAAACAATTTATTTTAATACTCCATTCTATAGTGCTTATTTCTTGCACTCAGGTTTCAATGGGTCATATATATATGGTTTTTATAAATAATGACTAGATGTTAATGTTAATTTTATAGTTTGATTGATAATATTTTCTGTTGTGATAATATATTCCAGTGGAACCCTTGTTCTCCCATAAACACATCAAAACTCAGAATGAAATTAAACACAGAAAAAATCAAGAATAGAATGTATGATAAATCCAACAAGAAGAAATGTGTCTGAATTTGGACAGTTAATCACATAGATAGACATGTTAAGACAAACTAGTGATACTGTTTCTATGACTGATTGTTTCCCTAATATAGTGTTAAAAAATCCTCATCTTTTTACTAGATAAATTTCATATTGAACTTTAGTCTAATTCTATTCACAAGAATTTATTCTAGACCTGATGAATGTATGATCCATAATTATTACTTTTTTCCAAGACATCATAAGTTTAAGAGGTACTTGTGTCTGTGACACCATACTTTTTAGTGGTCAAGTACTATAAATGATAAATTACTATTCTGTGTACTTTTAAAATGCTCTACCTTTATCATGATTTAAATCCCTGAAAAGATTTTTTAATCAATGTTGAACAAATTAAAAATGTCTGTTACAGGCTATAATCATCCAAGGATAACTAAAGTCTTGACAAATCCTTCTAATCTAGTGAGTTCAATATTTGTATTGCCATCTTGTTTGCAGTTGCACATTGAATTGATATACATTAAATAAAAACTTTTTTTTTTGTATTCTTAGTTTTTAATTTATAAATTCCATATAAAATATATGATAATTGGTTTGGTAGCCAAGTGTTTCACTGCAACTTTGTACACAAGGCAAACAAACCATTTTTAGCATACCATGTATTGCATATGGTAACAGTTCACAAACTTTATTGAGTATTTAAACAAAATCATATTATTAAGAAAATCTATGGGCATAATGAAAGGCTTTGTTGACAGAAAAATGGTTTAAAATATCTCCAACCTCATCAATATGGCTTTTGAAATTTTATATTTTAAGTTTTTAAAAATTACTGAATACCATTCAGTTGTTTTTTTTTACATTTATTTGTTTGGCATTAATTTTTCAAAAAAAGGTTGTGCTACTTTTTCCTTATATTTCAATTTTTAGACTGTGTAATTTTTTTCACAGAGTTCCTTTGTGAACAGACCAGCCCTAGGTGTATTTCCTCCTGCTGATTTTGTCAAGAATATCAATGAATCTTTATTATCAGCAAGTTATTTTTGTTAGTCTTGTTATAGGTATTGGTATCTGATCAAAATATTTACAAAATATGTAGGACACTGTTGGGTCTGCATAGCCATGTAAAATACTTAATCCCTTAATGTTTAGATTTGATTACAATTACATTTTAGATATTTGGTCACACTTTTTAATATTAATGTAATTTGCACCTTTGGTGTTGAGTGAAATAACCTTGAGTAAGGTCAAGATCATTCAGTTGGAAGTCTGTATCTTGAAATGGTTTGTTGAACTTGATATAATAGAGTTGGTATTCATACCCCTATATGTCACAAAGCTGAAGTGACAATCACTTAATATGAACTTATTTTGTTGTAGATAAAATGTGTATCATTTCAAAATTAATTTTGAGAGAGATCTACTTCATATATATATATTGATAGCATTTTTTCACTTTTAATTTATATTACTAGGTAGCTCCACCTGGGATGAATCAGGTTATCACAATGGGTTGTGGTGCTTGCTCAATAGAACATGCCCTCAAAGCTGCTTTCATGGCATTTAGAGTGAGTACTCATCATAAGCATTTTAAAATAATTTGACCAATCTGTATATCATTGGCTTACATTTTGTTTCTGTAGAGAAAAGAAAGAGGTGGTAAGCCACCCTCCAGAGAGGAACTTGAGACATCGTTGTTTAATAAACCTCCTGGAAATCCAAACATTTCTGTGCTCTCTTTTAAAAATGCTTTTCATGGCAGGACAATGGGTAAGTTTCAGTTCTCTGATTTTTTGATTCAATGTAAACAATAGTTGTTTCATAACGTTTTTAATTCATACCTGGTATCACTGTCTCCTTTCTACTTCAACCAAATAATTTTTTATGGCATTTAGATTGATTTAGAATGTGGCATTAAATTATCTCATGGAAATGGTTTATGATTTTAAAAATAATTCTTAGATTTTAACTAACAAATAAGATATCGAATTCTGTTATGTCTTTATTTATTTCTAAACATCTCACAGACTGGTAGAGTAATGAGCACATTATTTTTCAAACTCTCTTTTATAAAGGATTTTATAAGATTTTTAAAAGATTTTTTTAAAAAATACTTTCAGGTGCTCTTGCTTTGACTCATACCAAATGGACCCACAAGCTTGATTTCCCAAGTCCTGACTGGCCCATTGCCTCCTTTCCTTCACTCAGATATCCTTTGGAAGACTTTGAACACGAGAATTCTAAAGAGGAACAGAGATGTTTGGCTGAGGTTAATTGATACTCTATCAAAATATTAAAAGACTGGCATTTTCAACATTATTAATTTGTATTATATTTATCTTATGTTAACTACAGATGTTACTTCAGAAAAGAAGATAAAATTACGTTTTTCGCATTTCATGTGTCCATCTAGTCATGCATGTTAATCAATGACTTAAACTCTGCTAAGTCGTTTGTTTTCCTGGCTGATTTAGTCAACCCATTCCATTCTCTAAAGGCACCAGGGAAAAAGGAGCACTTGTATGACTTTGTTCTAGCGTGTGGAATAAGACATGAGCCTTTATACGTTTTATTTTTTTATTTTTTTTTACATTTTTATTACATAACTTTTTGTTAGAGATTTAGTTAGTATAGTGACGCACCATAGTTGACGGACTTTGAACGTGATGTCACGGCTTAGCGGGTTATAGTTTATTTCTGTAATTATTAATCAGTTTCAGTTGGTATAAGAACTTCAGAGGGATAACTTTGTATGATGGACAGAGACTCGACTGTGGCCTTTACAGGATTAAACTTCATTTACATATATAACGGTTTAAACTTATTCTTTCTACTTGTTACATGTGTAGGCTCTGTTATGTGTAGATAAGTGCATCTAAAACACTTGTACAAGAAACCCAGACATCTCCAGAGTAATCTGTCGAAGTCAGAGAGGGCAATGCCTATCACAATTTTAATTCTGTTTGTTGTTATTTTACAGCTTAGCTGTGTAAATATATGAAAATCATTTACTAGTTATATTTTGTAAATTAACTACATTTAATGTTTTACACTCTAAACAGGTTGAAGATTTGATAAATCATTACCAAAAGAGGGATAACCCAGTTGCTTGTGTGGCTATTGAACCTATTCAGTGCGAAGGAGGAGACAATTTTGCAAGTCCTCAATTTTTCCAAGGACTTCAAGACATTTGTAGAAAGGTTTGTTTGAGTGAAATTTTTGGTTTGATTTATTGATGAAATAAATTAAATAAGTTTTAAGAAATGATAGCAAGCTCATTATCGAGTTGAATGCTAATTGTTTTTTTTGTATAGTAAACAGCATAATGTCATGATTCTTCATAAATAAAAAATTCATCAGAATTATGTTGCTCAATCATAATTTTTTTTTATTATAACTGAACAATACATAATGTAACATTGATGAACATTTTATTAATATTCATCATATTGAATAGCAGTGGTTTGATACAAAAATTTTCCTAAACTATATTTACTTCTCATGCGCACATACACTCCTGTCTTTAAGCAACTCTTTGGAAAAAAATTCATTAAAAAAAAATTACCCCATTTTAGCATATGTCAGTTATAGTGACATTATAAATGTGTACCCTTTTATCATTCTCACGGTATATGTTTATCTAAACATCATTATCTGATGTCATTTGCTAATATTATGTTTTTGATTTGTTCTATGTATTTGCTCTAATTCAGAACAACATAGCGCTACTAATAGATGAAGTGCAGACCGGCGCTGGCACAACTGGCAAGTTCTGGGTGCACGAGTACTTTAACCTTAGAGATCCACCAGACTTGGTCACTTTTGCCAAGAAAATGTTGACTGGAGGTTTTTATTACAGGGATCATCTCAGGCCAAAAGAAGTAAGTGAAACACATGCTATAGTAGTTAAGTGATGTTAAACCCATTTATAAAAGTAATGTGATGTTGAACCCATATATAAAAGTAATGTGATGTTGAAGTCATGTTTAAGAATAATGTTATGTTGAGCCGATCTAAAAGCAGTACGCTGTTGAAACCTCATGTAGAAAAAAAATTTTGAACCCTTTTAGAGGAGTAATTTTATTAAATCTATTTACAAATTACTGTCAAATTAAGCACTTCTGTAAAAGTCATATCATGATCACCTCAGTCAATCTATAGTACTCCAATTAGTAGTCACAAAATAAAAATATTACTTTGATTCTCTGTTTCACAAGTTTTAGACATTTTTTAGGAAATTTGGTTAGGTTTTGAAACATAACTTGATGGCAGCAGTGAACGTGGAATCACCATGAGGACAGTCTGAAGAACATACCACAAAGCTAGGCAGATCTAAATTGTTCAGTTAAAATCTAAATAAAGAATTGTTCAAATTAATTGTTTAACATCTCTTTGCCTTGGATGAAATATGACTGTTGATCTGAACTCTTCAGGCAGGAAGTTTTCTCTTATCCATCTTTCCATTATTTCTGTTTTTCAATCACGTAAGGGTCCTAACTAGTGTGGAGATCTTTTATGTTATCTACTAATGTCTACCCATCAGTTCTTTCGCCTGATTGATCTTTTAACTCTTATCTAATTTTTTTTTTTTTTGAGACGGTCAACATTTTGTTTTTTGTTGACTTTATCTCTAAAAAGAAAAAAAAGTTCCTTCAAGACCAACAATAACAATTGTTGTACCCAATAGTTATGAGGATGTTGTTTGACCAATTCATTGATCTACTGCAGTGGTTCCCAAACTTTTTCCTTAACAGAACACTTCACACATTCTGAGTAGTTAGCGGAAAACTTTACTTATTTTTTTAAAGAGATTAATTATGTGGTGGCCTACCATACTAATTAATTATTCCAGTAATTTAAGCCTTGCGGGACACAATTTGGAAAACACTGATCTACTGCATTTACTTGACCCAGATAAAACCTGTGCTGTTTAATATATTTAAAATAAAACCAAATTCCCCACATTTTTTATCAATTGGAAAGAAATGACACTTGAAATCATAGACGTAGCCAGGATTTTTTTTCGGGGGGGGGGGGGGGGGAATTCCCCCCGCAAAAAAAATATATTTATATGTATGTATGTGTGTATGTGTATATAATCTTTATTACATTCTGACCCATCTTTCTTTCGGAAGACGCTTATTGTGCCCTAGAATAGGTTCTTCCTGGAGTTAGTGGAAAAATTGTAGACTTCCGCCATTGCTAGCAAGGGGGTCTGGGGGAGCTCCTGCGGGGCAGAGCCCTGCCGCCAAGCACTATTTCTGATATTGAAATCCGACAAAATGCATATTCTGAGTCTGAGGTATCTACAGTGCATTTTCCTGCTATTAAAAAGTGCTATTCTTACTGACTTACACCCTGCCGCGCTGTTCGGCACATTTGCCGTCAAGCTGTTTCCACAAAAATCTGTCACTGGTAATGTCTGAAGCCTCTTCCTTCCCAACTGCTATGAGGACCTCCATGAATGTGTGGCAACAAGTTGTACTAGGATGTTATTGCAACTCTTCTTATGCCTAATTCATTTTGTCGGAGAACATGTCCCGCAAACCTCATGCGACGCTCAGTCACAATCTTACTAAGGGGTCGACTCCCATTTTGGCATAGGATTTCCTTGATTTAAACCCGATCTCTTAAACTGACTCCTAAAATCTGTCTTAGCCATCTTTGTTGAGCCTCATTTAGTGTTTTTCAATTTCGGCAGATGACTATTCACTGCACTTTATTAATTGATCCCCGCCACTGGTAGAAATGTGTAACCTCTCTTGAATACGCTCTTGGAATTAAGTAACTGTAGTTTGCTTTAGATTTTATATCGAAAAGGGAAGTTTTATCGTCAAAATCATCTGTTGGGGGTTTTAAAATAAAAAATCTCTGGAGTTATGTTTGCTTTAAAATTCAAAACCCCAATTAGCTACGGTCATAGAATTTAGTAACTGTAGTTTGCTTTAGAATAATATTGAAGATAGAGGTTTTCCACCTCAAAACGCTCTGTAGGTGTAGGGAGATTTTTAACTCAAAACCATCTGGAGGGGTTTTAAACTTAAAAAATGAGCCATCTGTAGGAAAGGGATTTAAACTCAAAACCCCCAATTGTCTTGGCTACGCTCAAATAATTTTAGTGTGTAATTTTTTTTTTTTTTTTATATTGAAGAGGTATTTTTTAGCATCAAACAACTCTGAAGGGGGGTTTAAACTCAAAACTCCTTTTGGCAACCCTCATAGCATTTTGAGTGCATAATTTGATTTTTTCTTACATTGAAGATGAAATTTTTTACCTTCAAACCCTGCTTGAGGGGGGTTTAAACTCAAAACCAATTTTGAACGCTCATAGATTTCTGAGTGTGTAATTTTCTTTTTTTTATATTGAAGAGGAATTTTTTAACTTCAAACTCCACTGGAGGGGAATTTAAACTCAAAACCCCTTTGAATACACTCATAACATGTTAAGTGTATAATTTGCTTTGTTTTTAATATTAAAGAGGTATCTTTAGATTCAAAC